AGGGTAGTACGACAGTTGTGAAGAGAGTTATTGCTGCGAAACTGGAGGACTGTCGGAGGGTTAACTTCAACTGTTTGACTTTGTTTGACCAAACTGTTACTGTTTGGCCATCATTGCGGGGCCCTCAGGCGCATGAAGATTACAAGGCCCTCTCCTAGGAGTTGAGTTGTCCCCCTCTTGTATCTCGAGCGTCTGAAACCCTTATCTTCTGCCCTTCTTAATCTCAGTCTAATCTTCGTTACGAGAGGAAGGCAACACGCGAGATTGCAACCCGCAGGTCCGCATCAAGACTCTGTGGGGAGTCAGCCCACCAATTTCGGGAGCTCTGCCGGAACTGGGGAGGAGTTCTGAAGGCGGGGAACTGAGAGGTGATCGTTGCTTTCCCTATATAAACCCAGACTATAGCCCCTATCTGTATTTCCCATTGCATCTATGATTGAGTATATAGTGTGCAACCTTACTTTGACTTTGTTTAACTTTTAGGACACTGAACCAGACTAAGTAAAAGAATATCTGCTCAAGTTCAGTTTCAACTTTGTTGATTGAATGAAATCTGATTGTTAAAAGAAATTGCATCTGGGAAAGGCAGGATGGAGGGCTGAATTGCATGAAGGTTGACCGGGTCATTAAGGCAAGGAAATCCCCATAAGTTTTGGGAGACCCAGTGCCTTGTTTATTTTGGTTTGCATGGAGCGTCAGACCCTTCTATAAGTTTAGGGGGTCTGATTGCTCTGGAGGCTCGGATGTCCCCATAAGTTTGGGGAGACCCAGTGCTATGGCTTGCATGGAGGGTCAGACTGTTCTGTAAGTTCAGGTGGTCTGACTGCTCTAACCTGTGAGAGGTTTGATTGCACTTGATTTTCAGGGACTCAGGGCGTTCAATAAGTTTTGGTGCCTTGGGTTGCCTTGTTTTCACTTGGATTTCATCTGTTTCTTTGGTTTCTGAAGCGAGGAGATCTGAGTTGTTCTATCATTTTAGGTGGCTCAACCTCTTTCTGCTCTTTATTCTAAAGAAATAACCTCGGTAAAGGGGCAAGTTCTTCTGTAAGTTCAGGAGATCTGACTCGATGCCACACGCATGATGATTCAGAGAGAAAAGAAATTGGCAGAGAGTTGGATCCTTCTGTAAGTTCAGGGGGTCTGGCTCAAAGCCTCGCACATGCTGGAACCCAATGATTATGATTTGGATATACTTTACTACTATGTTATCTAAGAACGAGTTAATCAGACTGTTCTATAAGTTTAGGTGGTCTGACTATAGTTAGCCGTATCACAACTTGAAGGGAGTATAACCAAGAATAAAACTGGTGGTAAACTGGGCGGACTCAACTTAAGTTAGTTCAGTCATATGCAACCTTAGAAGATAAAGGTGAAGACAAATATATATAACTTGGATATTTTAAACAGTTCAGGGCGACTAGAGTGGTCTAGTCATATGCCAAAGGAAGAGAAAAGTAGTTGTGCCTTCTGTTTATATATACTTGGCTAAATCAGAACGCTCTATAAAGTTAGGTATTCTGATTTTTTACGTGGCTAAGTTGGACACGCTCTGTAAGTTCAGGTGGCCTGACCTATGCCTTATGTAAGCTGGGTATAAAGGGCTAAATCATTAAGAAACTATGATCTATTGTTTGTTCAGATTGACCTAAGATGACGAGAGTACTTACCTTTGTGGTTTGACCTGCATGTGGCTGAGTGAGGTTACTACTTGGTCTGAGTTTCAGTTTGATAGGTAGTTGCTTTTGTCGCTCATCACGTGCTAGAACTATACGAGTAATAATAATTCCTGCATTTTATGAGCTAAGTTTTTTTTACTTAGATCAATTCTCGCATTTTCTAGGATCTTTTGTTATACTTGGCTTTGTATAAATCTTGGCAAGCTACTTTCTCTACGGAAAGCGCTACCAAAATTTTTACAAATCCAAGGAGTTAGTCAATTCTTAACTTGTCAAAGTTCAACTTAACTTTTCTTTATATCCGACCTAGTAAAAATTTTGAAAGTCTCCTTTTCTATAGGGAGTGCTGCCAAAATTTTTACTAATTTAGGGAGTTAGACAAAAATTTAACTTCCAGAGTTAAAGATTATTTCTGCTTTCATATTGGGACTTATATAAATTATGGAAAGACATTTTTCCTACGGGAAGCGCTGCCGAAATTTTCTTAGTTTAAAGGAGTTAGGTTATATTTCGACAGACGGCGATTCTGGTGATCCACCCTAATAGGGAAGATTATGTCATGAGTCTATCTTTCTTTGGGCGCTGGCTTAGGGATAGACTTAGGCTTAGCTATTAGAAGAGTCTCTGAGAGAGATTGTGGTATGGGGATTATTTTCCGGGGGCTTATGGTTTAGCCTGGGGCGTTGACCTGTCTTGTGTTACAGGTCCTTTTGATCATTCGACTCATGATTTTGACTAGTTTCAGCTTGATCCTGCGAGGATCATTTTCTGTTATCACTGATAACACGTCGGTTGGTTGATCGCCGACTTATCGGCTCACGACACAACTTTGCTTACACCTGTACATCAACTTGATTATCTTAACCCTGTGATTTGATATGTTTCTTTGAGGGTTTTAATCAAACTTTTTTTAAATGGTCATTACAAAGAACTTATGAGATTATGGAAAGTTGAATTATGACTGAGGCTTGAGTGTGTGAGGCATGATGTGAATTACAGAGAATAGTAAAGTTGACCACATTGGTGTATGGCAATGTGGCTATTGTGTGTGTCTGTGTTTTATGCAGGTTAGTATTTTAGAGCTTGATATATGAGCCATATTTTTGAAGCAGTGAGAATGACAACCATGTGTCGCACGATCTGCATACCTGATAGGTTTATGTTTCCCCCTCCTTTTGTTGGTTATCCCGAGTCCTGATTTCATATGTGAGTGCTGGAGTGCTTGTTTATTTCATTGATTGATTTTGCTTATTAATTTTTATAGTAAGACGTTGTAGTGCGTGACATCCGTCAAAGTCAAACCCCTTGACTTTCGTCCAGGCCTGGAGTGAGACTCATCTTCAGGGCGGTAAGGAACGACTACCACCACAGGTATGAACCTGTGTACCGTCCACTCTGCACAGAGTGCAGAAGAGGGTGTGTGGTATTCAACCGCGCATGGCGGTTGTCCAGCGTCGAGAGATTAACCCTCAAGGCGCGTGTCAGCCGACACTTGAGTATCGAATGCGACCCTCGAGATAAACGAGGACCGCATGAGTATGGGTACTACATGGTACGTCATCATTGCGACTGCCTACGTGCGCTTGCATTGCAAGTCGATATGAGTTAGCCCTGCGTCCGCGCGGTTTTATACTAAGTCTCGCGCGCGACGCCTATCCGATTTCCACATCGAAAAATTATGGGACGGCTATTAAAAGGACTAGGAGTGTAGTCGCGTTGTTGTGTTCTGTCGTTTCGTATATGCGTGTGTGTGTGTTTTATTTCTGTGTTTGTAAAGCGGTGTGCGCGTGGAGAGTGGGATACGTTCTAGTCGACCGACGACGAGTCGCGTTTGGGACCTTAGCCCCCCAAGATGTCGGTTCGCGTGCAGGTCCGATAGAGGCGTATTACCGCGCGTACCCCCTTTGCTACAGCGAACAAGAAACGCCCTCGGCTAGTCCAACTTTGCGATTGCAACCGATCAACTTTCGTACTGTGGACTGGTAGCTCGGCGGGGATACGCCCACCGAAGGGAGATGACAGCTCCCGCAAGGTGGAGGTAAGTCGTGCCTCGCGTGAGCCATGTCTTCTCGTAGGGGCTCACGAGAGGTATGGCTGGCGCACTCGATCGGAGCGGCTTGCGGAAGCTCCATGTATGTTCGCGATGAGGATTACAGTCCAACTCGTGAGTGACGCGACCGGGAGGGCCCCGCGCTGCCCCCGTGCTGTGCCGGACCGATGCGCTCGACAGCGGCTATTCATAAGGCGGTGGATTTCCGATTCCCATATTCTAGGGCGGCACGAGTATTGCCTAAGGTCTATATATCACCCGCGGTCGTGACCTCGACCGATTTTACCACCCGCGCTCGGGATCCCGCCTGCAGCCTAGTGCGGGCATGAAACCCGGATAATTTTTTCGGGGCAAAAAAATAGGCCAAAATATATATATATATATATATATGTATATATATATATATATATATATATGTATATATATATATATATATACAGGGTCACCAGCCCGTACATACGGAGGTCCCCGGGCAGACCTCCGTACGTACGCGCACTCGGGGTCACGTACGGCATTCGGGCCCCGCCAAAAAATGTTTCGGGGCCCAAAAATAATTATTGTTTTCTGCATTTTGTTTTGTGAGTTTTCTATGACGTGAGGTACATGCCTGTAAATTTTCAAGTCTTTTGGCAAAGCCAAATAAGAATTAAAAATCGTCAAAAATGGCGGTGTCAAAACATGCTCGCCCACATATTGTTTTACTTTTAACATAGTATTCGTGAAAACCTAACAAAACCTGAAAACCTAACATTTTTTATAGAATGAAAAAGTGAAAGTCAAACTTTTATTTCAAACACATAAAAGAGAGCGTTTGTAACTACTTTTCGGGAAAGGAGGCAAAAGAACTGCCAGAAAGCCCAACGGTTCTCAAAATGTGCAAGAAACGTTTTTCCAGCAAAGAGCATGTTATAGGACTATAAGTCGTTCTTAGTAGATTGAAAAAAAACATAGCTTAAACAAGACAATCTTAAAGGTCTGCAAGGCGAACTCGAATGATGTTAAAAAAAAGCAGTTTCAGTGAATACTCATTTATAGAACTATAAGTCGTTTTCTGGAGTTTGGTAAAAACCAGATTATGAGAAATCGAGTTTATAGAACTGTAAATTAATATAACTCGATTTTTAAGTTAATTGTTAAACCCTTGTCAAAAAATATATGTTATGTAAAAGAAGAATTCAAACAACTTTTGCGTGAGAGACATCTTCAAATTCTTAGTCAACCATAATTTAAAATTAAAAAATAGAAAATTATTTAATAAAAATACTAATAAATAATATATTTGACCATGTATGAGAGAACATATCCAAGCAAATATATTCGTGAACAAGAAAGCACATGTGCGTGTTGAGGAGACCCCCGAATAGGTTCGTCGTGCTACATACCTTATAGAACTATAAATATGATTTTTTCAGATAAACAAAAAATTGGGATAATTCGGTGCTTGAACAAACGGTGCTTTGCAAGGTAGTGATTTTTTGTAAAAACCCTTGCTTCTCTCCTCATCACTTCCAGCGGTTCTGAAAAAATACTTTTTTATTCCTTTTTTGTGGTTAATTTACTTCACATAAAATTTTCTTCGTGTAGGAGGCTTGAAAAATATACTATTAGAATCTTTCAAAATTTTCGTGTAAACCAAACTAGTTCTTTTGTTAGGTTTTCACGAATAATATGTTTTTTTACTTTTTGTTTTGACTTTCGTTCGGGGTTTAAACAATTTTATTATTTTTTGAAGCTTTTTTAGTGGGTTTTGTATTATGTGAAGTACACATCTATGTATATGAGTTTTCCATCTGGTGTGGGTGAGTGATAGTCGACTTTGATTTTGGTTAAGGTGGATTATCATTTATAGTGTAATGAGTGAGGGGATTCTGCAGACTGTTGAGGGTTCAGCCTCCTGATTAGTCGGTGAAACTCCGACGAAACAGTTTGTCACAGCCTCTCGTTTGTTGTCCTCTTCTCTCTCTCTAAGTACGGCTTACCGGCGAGTTCTGTTTGTGACGATATAGGCTACGACTTCGCTAGCTTCCTATTACGGGTTTTTCCGGTCACGTCGAGCGGCAGTGGTCGGGGCCGTTACTAGGCGGCCATGTTGTGCCTCTAGTGCCAGCGGCGTGTCTGGAGTGTATTTTTTTGTTGTGACAGACCTTTCTTTGTTTGGTGGATGTTTTGCTGGCTTGTGATGGGGTGAAAACCGACAGACTGTAGAGTTTTCCATCTGGTGTGGGTGAGTGATACTCTACTTTGATTTTGGTTAAGGTAGATTATCATTTACATTGTAATCAGTGAGGGAATTCTGCAGATTGTTGAGGGTTAAGCCTCCTGATGAGGCGGTGAAACTCCGACGAAAGAGTTTGTCACAGCCCCTCGTTTGTTGTCCTCTTCTCTCTCTCTGCCTACGGTTTACCGGGGAGTTCTGTTTATTACGATATATATATATATATATATATATATATATATATATATATATATATATATATATACATATACAGGGTAACCGTCGTTCGGGACATGCCGAACGCCCGAACCCGAATGCCCGAACGTATGGGACCCCTTGGGAATGCGTTCGGTCGTTCAGGCCGAACATGGACCCAAAAAAAAAAAAAAAAAAAAAAAAAAGTCATAAAAAAAATCTGAAAAAACGATCTGTTATGGAGAAAAATAAATTAAACAAGATTTTCCTGAGCATAATATCCGAATTCCTTACTAAATTTGACATAAAAATAAAATATGGAAACTAAATACTAATAATAAAAATAAATAAAAATAAATAAAAATAAAAAGAGAATTAAATTTAGTGAGTGCGCGAGCATGTTTTCGACACCGCCATCTTTGGCAATTTTTATTTTTATTTTTTGGCATAGTTAAATGCCCTGAAAATAAACAGATGTGTACTTTACATAATACGAAACCCACTCAAAAAGTTTCAAAAAATAATAAAATTGTTTAGAACCCGAACCAAAGTGAAAACAAAAAGTAAAAAGTGAAAAAATACGTGGGCGACACCGCCATTTTTGGCGATTTTTTATTCTTATTTGGCTCAGCCAAAAAACTTGAAAATGTACAGGCATGTACCTCACGTTATAGGCAACTTACACAAACAAACTTAGGAAAAAATAATGAATTTTAGGCCCCGAAAGGTTTTTTGGCGGGGACCGAACGCCGTCGGGTTCGGATCCCGTACGGGACCGCGAACTCCCGTACGTACGGAGGTCTGCTCAGGGACCTCTGTAGACGTGTGTACGTACGGGCTGGTGACCCTGTATAGATATATATATATCTATATATCTATATATATATATATATATATATATATCGTCAAATAGAATGTCAGGGTAACCGACATTAAAAATCAGAAAAAAAGATATGTTATGGAGAAAAATAAAATAAAGAACATTTTCCTGAGCATTACGTCCGAGTTCCTTACCAAATTTGAAATAAAAATAAAATACGGCAAACAAATACTAATAATAAAAATAAATAAAAATAAGAAGAGAATTAAATTTAGTGAGTGAGCGAGCATGTTTTCGATACCGTCATCTTTGGCGATTTGTTTTTTTTTTTTTTTGTCATAGCTAAATGCCCTAAAAATTTAAAGATGTCTACTTCACATGATACAAAACCCACTAAAAACATTTCAAAAAATAATAGAATTGTTTAGACCCCGAACTAAATTGAAAACAAAAAGTAAAAAGTGAAAAAATACGTGGGCGACACCACCATCTTTGGCGATTTTTTATATATAAATATGGTTAACCCGATTAACATAACAAAAGCATAATGGTACACAAAGCCACTTTGAAGTGTACTTATTTGCTTTGCTAATTTTTGAAATGTGGTGGAAATTCCAGAGGGACCCAAAATGGAAAT